AAACAACACATGGGATTCAACAGTATTTTGGGGGAAATTTCCATGCTTAATAATGTGCTGTACACATTTGATGCTGGTCAATTTTGATGAACTAAGGGTATTCAAATGGAATATTCCCCTGTAAAAGATCGGTCTTTTTATGTGAGCTACGAAATAAAGAAATTCAAGTTTCAGCACAGACATTCAGCACAAGTCTTGCGAGATCTCACAGTTGAACGGAAAATCCTCTATTGTGTTTTTGTTTTTGGTGAATACCAAATAAGATTGTACAATTTTTATTTCAGAATGATACCTTCTCATCATTAGATGATTTGAATGATTCTATTGATATCAACGCTATGATGGCCGGTATTCCAAGCTTAACAGCTTCAAGAAGCGCCAGCGCTGCGTAAGTACATCCAAGTAAATGATCCATGTATCTTTCCAGAATGGATTATGTATTGATTATGTCATAGAGTGGGAAATCTGCTTTGTGATCACTCTACTATACCTCTAGTATGTATAAGATATTTGTCATTTGCAGCTGACCCATGTGTATTTTGTGGTAGTATTTCAATAACTTCAATAGCTTTTAAGAACTGAATATGAAAGGTGTATATATTTTTCCCCTTTTCATCTTGTCTTTATGGGAGTGTTAATGGCAGTTGCATATAAAATATAAGACTAGGTTCAAGTTTTCTGGTTGCTATGTTACTCGTGTACGTCAATGTTGATTTTGCAATAGTAAGTGAAGCCGTTGCAGTGTTCCATAGGTTTAATAGGTTTACTGAGATTGGCAGTATCACATGCAAGGTAGCAAAGACATAAGCTTGTAGGTGATCTAAATTATTTTTGTTTTTGTTATAGCTCGGTGCCAAATTCTTTCAGCAGCCGCTTGGACCTCGGTAACATGATCAGTTCTCAAGATCTGACAACTGTCAAAGATGAATCAGCTGATGTAACAATAGACATGGAACCTGAACCAGAAAGACAATCCCAAGCCCCTCAACTTCAAGAGGAAGAGGCAGTCTCCATGGTGACTGAGACAGCCTCTGTGATGACTGAGACAGCTTCTGCAGTGACTGAGCGTCAGACTGATGATGGCAGTGGAAAAGAAGTGAAAAAAAAGAAAAGTAGTGCTAATTTACTCCCAAAAAGTAAAAAGGTCTCCAAGACCACTGAAGCAGCTACCGCAGTGACAGAGCCTCAGTCTGACAATGAAAGTGGGAAAGAAATGAAGAAAATGAAGAGCAGTGATGATTTACTTCCAAAAAAGAAAAAGAAAAAAAGTTCCAGCAAGAAAAAGAAAGGCCTTCAGAAAAAATAATAGATGAGCTTTACTAAAATAATTTTGCATCATTTCCACTTGTTCATTCCACATGTGAATCAAGTATGCCAATGTATCATTTTTAAGTCTAAGCGAATGAGTGCGAAAATTTTTATTATTATGTAGATAAATAAAACAATACCATATTTGCTGTATTAGATGCACTAAAGCAACATAGATGAATCGTTGTGAATTACTACGTAAAATACGATCAAAACTTATATGATTCACTATTAGAGATGTACTTTGCATAAAGTAAATATGGTGATGTTTATTATGTATAATGCTAGTAACACGTATGTTACTTACATTACCACCTGAGGGGGCTAGATAGTTACATACTGAGACATGTGACAGTTACTGTAAACCGCTGTAACAAGGTCAATTGTGAAAAATAATTGGGGTGCGGGCCTAATTTTTTAAATAGACATATTACTGTAAGTGTATTTTGGAGTTCATACATGGGACTCTATGGGAAGAGAGTAAAACATTATCTGTTCAATTAGAAAACAAATCTTTGCATTTTTATTTAAAAAGTAATGAAACCGTGTATCTGGAACTACTGTAAAATAATTTCAGCTGTAATTAATTTTCGCTGGAAAGACTTTTTGGGTGTTTTGTATGGAATTTATTTTCACTGAATTTTTACAAGTTGAATGTGAAATATAGAAAAGATGGTATATTCGCAGGATTATATTTTCACCGAATCATTCCTTCAGCACAATTAGCGAAAATTATCTTCAAGCAAAAATAAAGTATTTTACAGTACAGTACAGTACAAATATTAAAAACAGTTTATGTAATTTACACTATGCTAACACATCAGTGGTAGAATGTGTTCTCACAAGAAAATGGTGGCACATCCACTTCAAACTTACTATGTTCAGGAAACTATTGAGAACCACCATCATTTTGCGAGAGTGAGTCCTTGAAAATTTCGAAATTTTGTACCTTTCAAACAATTTTTTTTTTACAAATGTCATAAAATCATCAAATAAAGCGGTTTTCAGTATCTTTATTATTTTCACACAAAACAAATTTCATCTGTTTTATATATACATTGAAATTATAAGAATTTATAAAATCTGTCTAGCTGGTCTAGTCATTCTAATAATAGTTAGGGATAAATAGGGCAAAGAATTGAGAGCAAAGTGTCACTAGTTTTCCTATACTTCTCTCACTAATTCAGCTTTCACTATAAGACAAAGTTGACTGTCAGTTTGAAAGATACACATCACAATAGTTGGGAATATTTTAAATTGTTTTTGTTTGAAAGAAAAGTAAGATATTCAGGAGAGTTAAATTTAAAGTCACCAGACCATCTTGTAATCTGAAACATAATATCTTGATATAGCTATATGTAAATTTAGCAACTCACTCTCAATCTAGCCATGTCAACTATCTCTTGTGAATGAATTTACTGAATCATTAGCTATATTTTTAATTAGCATGGGGAGAAGCTAATTAT